GCAGACTTAATCAGTGTTAATTGATTATGTGGGACACGTCATGAAAAGGATGATTTGATGTGAAGTTGGGTTGCAAAGTGGCTTGCAGTGCGCCTTACACAACACAAGCTGTTATTCTTTCTTTTAATCAAAGCTGTGGGATTCTCCTTACCAGGCAGCTTCGATGGTAAGTTGACGTTTCCATACTCTTCAGAGAAATGCACCCTTTCGTTGGATGGGCACAGCAGACCCCTGGAGGTGAGGACGGGTACTGCGGTGTCTGAGTACTCCTGGCTAGAGGACGAGTGCTGCTTGATGAAAACCAAGTAACTCACAACCACAGACGTAGGCTTTGACTTCATTGAAAAGGGTAAACAGAAATAAGAGAAAGAAGAAAGAAAATTCAGCCAATTTTTTTAAAAAAAGATCACTGATCATTTTTTTTTCTCATATTCATTTACAGTGTTTGTTACCTTCCATTTATTGTTCCTTATTGTAGGGTAGATGTGCTGCTCCAGCAGCTCTTGAGGCTCTAGTTCGTGAACCCCAAGTCTTCTGAGCAGCTCACGAACCTGCTGACTTTCCAAAGGCTCCAAACAGCTCAGCAGGGACGGGTGAACCACACTGACATCCTTGTACAATGCAGCCAGTGGTCCTGTGAGAAGAAAAGTACAGGTTATATCACCAAACTGGTCACAAAAACAAAACCTACTGCATGCTCCTCATTTACTTTACTTTACGGGTTATATGTTATATAATAACCACCCTGTTCAAAGTTGAGTTCTTTTGAGTGAACCTTTTCATCAGACTCTAGAAAGTGTCACTCCAGTTCAGCTCATTTCATGTCACAGACTCGCCCTTCAGAGACTCGCCTGTAACAGATGTGAAGAGAGGCAGAAGACTGCTGTTGTGGCAAAGTGCTAAATGTGGAAGACGTTTTTTTCTGAACAGGCATCTAGTCTCATTTTGTCCTGGATTTGGGAAATACACAATTCTTGGTAAATCTTGAATTACTCATACACTGTCTTAATTTTTAATACAATACTACAATAAAACACAGCAACTACCTTTAAGTAAAAACCTCCAGTGACCTACTTTTCGTCCTTTTAAGGCTTGCATCTGAAGGAACGCTTTCCCACTGATCTCTGCGCTGCTCAATATTTCAGAAGAACACTGTGTTTAACTTCGCTGTCTCTCTAAACCCATCACACTCATCTCTGTTCACCTCGCCTTTGAGCAGAGCCTGAGGTTTATGCTGCACCGAGGCTGATTTAATCTACAATCACTGACCCGAAAAACCAGCTAGAGTAAAGATTTCACTCTGACTTTTATTATTTCCCCATCAACTTTCCAAACATTCTT